GCTAGAGAAGCTGTTGCTATGCGTTTGGCCGTAGCAATGGCTCTTACCAGGGCGATTGCAGCGTGCCAACTTTGAGTCTAATAATCAAGAAATTAGTCAAGGTTTTGAATCATGAGTTAGTCACAGTAAAAAGCAATTTTTATTTTTTTACTCATTCTAATTATTCAGTTATATATTATATAATTTAATCTCAAAATTTTTTATTTTAAATGAGAAAATTATTATTTAATTATTTAAATTATTAACAAAAAATATCTTTATTTTGTAAGACGGATGCCCTTCTTAATGAGTCTGTTGTGTGTAATCGAAATTCGAAACCTTTTTTCAGGGATAATTTACTTGTAAATCGAAACAACCAATAAAGAAACAAATCAATTCAATGTGGTTCGATTATGGGGTTTGGTTGATTGTATAGAACAGTGCAGTCAATTAACCGTTATAAAAGTCATAATAAAAATTGGGCGGGTGATTGATTCGGGTAAATTCACCGGGTTAATGGATATCTAGCAAATCCATTTGCAGAAGCGAAAAAATCCCTAATAATTTCCCAAACCCTTGCTCATCTCCCTCTCTTTCCAGAATCCGCAATGGGCGAGAAGCTCGCCATTGCAGAGAAAAAGGTAATCATTATCCTCTTTCTCCTTCTTGAATTGGATTCCATGTTCACATATCAACAGCTGACACTTAAGATGTGGAGCAGGTTGTGGTTGAACTCGTGAAGTTAGCCCAAAAGAGAGGACTTAAAGGTAACAAGGGAAGCTGGAAGGAGTTCTTGGACACTCACGACAGAAAGCTCGCGTATAGCTTGAGTGACCCATCAAAGAGAACCATTCAAATTTTGGTATCTTTTCTCAGGACATTTGATTCAGAACAATGGATGGTATCTTCTTCTCTGAATTATGTGCCTTCTTTGGTTATTCCTTGATATATATCACATTTTTAATATTGGGGCCCTCCCCCCATCCGAGTGTCTTTGTTTTACACTTCGGAACAGTCCGAATTGTTTTCATTTTATCAATCTGGGTAAATTTTATTTCTTTACTTGGTCGCAGATTTTTGATAGATTCCTGCAATCTCAATCAAACCGCCAGCTTGTGGACCAGTTTAGAAAGGAATCTCCAGATAGTGAATCCCCTGAGCAGGTATATAAGGTTCCCTCTTTAGTTATTTGTTTGTTTTCTTCTGAGTATTGACCGTGCCAATATCATGTTTAGTGGTCTCTTACTTTTGTCATAAGGCAATCTTTTTTGTGGGATTCTTTGGTTTTTAAGGGTTCTGTTGTAATCCTTGTTAATTGGTTTTGGTGGCGGTGCAGAGGTTGGTACGCTTAACCGTGGAGCATCCACTCTACCCTCTAGATTATACATTCCCTTCACTCGAGGAGGTTTGTTGTAAAATTGTCTGCTCAGTTTAGCGTTCATGGTATTTGTTCCTGTATCTCCAAAATTGTTATGTTGTCCGTCAATGAGCATAGGGTTGGGTTATTACTGAGCTCCCTGAAAAGTCTGAGGTGTTGAGGTCAAATGAAATGCTTGCTGTTGATTGTGAGATGGTTCTTTGTGAAGATGGCACTGAAGGTCTAGTGAAAGTGTGTGTTGTAGATTGCAATTTAGAGGTACTAATATCAATTATTCCTTAGGCCTTATGAAATCAGTTAATTATTCTTTATGGTTTGATTATTTTGCCATGGATGAAAAGAAAAAAAAAGAATTAACCTGGGGATCAAATTTTCAGGTGAAACTTAATAATCTTGTAAATCCAAACAAACCAGTTGCTGATTATAGAACTGATATTACCGGAATTTTGGCTGGAGATCTGGATGGTGTTACTTGTTCATTGGCAGACATACAGGTATGATAGGATAAACATTTTGGTTTTATAGGATGCTTTCTATGTTTTTTGTCCAATTGATGTGGCAAACTTTTCAGAAGCACATTAAGAAGCTATTATCCCATGGAGCTATTCTTGTGGGCCATGGTTTGAACAATGACCTTCAAGGTAAGTGGCTTACAACTACAAATTTTGGTTCATTTCATGTGAGAGTCGAACCAATTACCTTTGAACTTATTTTATAAGGTTGATATACCAACTGCATCTTATTCTTGTTATTGTTATTGTGTTTTTCCTCTTTTTAATATTTTAATTTTTTAACTTTATTTTTTGGTTTTGCAGCATTGAAGTTAGAGCATGCTAGAGTAATTGACACCTCTTACATCTTCAAATTTCACAATGCACCTACTCAGAGAAGACCTTCCTTGAGTAATTTGTCTAAGGCAAGTACTAATAGAAGGAAAGAAGAAAAAATTGTTTCTGATCACTTGGTTGTGATTTCTGCATTTTGTTTTATTTTTATGTTTTCTTAATTCTAATTGTCTTTTTACATTCCTCTCTATCAAATCTATTGTCTTCATCAGAAAAATGTCCTGACTCCACTATATCTTTGGTTTAATTTCTTTGTGTTCTTTTGTCAATTGAGTTTGGTACTTATTCTGGTTTGTTTGGGATGTCCTCTTTTTAGTTTTTACAGTTTGTAAAATTCCATTATTTTTTACATTGCTTCAAATCTGATCTAAAAGCTTACTTCTGCCCCGCAATCTTATGACAGTCAGTACTTGGCTATGAAGTCCGAGAGCAGGGTGCTGCACACAATTGTCTAGATGATGCATGTGCTGCAATGAAACTTGTTCTTTCTCAGCTCAAGCATGGAGATGGTATACTGTTGGTTCATCAAGACGTAAGTTTGGACAAGTATATTCTAGCTCTTTGGTTTTTTGTGTGGGATCGTTAATCATCTATCATCCTTTTTTCCCCTGGAAACTATAGGTGCCCAAAGCTGAAACAGCTAAGCTACTTCTTCACAGAATACCAATAAACATTCCCAGAGAAGAATTATACAGAATCATTCCTCAGAATGTTAAGATTGAACTAAAGGTGACTATATCTAATTTATACCTTGTTTTCCTTTTACAATTCCCACTCCATTGACTTTGTTATGTTACAGTTGTTCATATGTTTCCTTGAGAAGGGTAAGACTCATTAGGTAATGGATACATTGAAGGCACACTTTCATTATTTATTTATTTTCAGAAAAGAGAGGGCGGCTTTATTTATCCACATGTTCTCAAATGCAAGGGAAAATGTTAATCATTAATATCTCAGCATAAAACATAAAAGAAAAAGGATCTCAACATAATGGGAGCTGGTTTAGGGTAGAACTGATCTATGCAACTTATCTAAATGCATATTATGGTAAGATTTAGGCATCAACTAGCCTGTTGTGCCCATCCATTCCAATTCACTAATATGCTGAATAATCTTTTGACAGCCATCGAAAAATCCTCAAGGAGGAAAGTATTCTGCATTTGCCATCTTTAAGACTCCTCAAGAGGCATTCCAAGTGTTTGAAGATCTGGAAGGAAGTGAAGAAAAGGTATGTATATTACACAGAAAAAATGGTTCTTCCATTTTTTTCACCGTGTTTTATCCACAAAGTAAAATCAATGAGGTTATTGTTGTGGGTTAACAAAATTTTGAGTTCTAGTAATTTAAATAAATATTCTTGTTCTGTCATATGTTAGGATATATCCGGACTACCGCAAAAACTCGTCAAATTTCAATCCAGCAGAGGAGTAAGTGCTAGCATATACATTCGTAAAATGGCGAATGCTGATCCTTGTAGCTATATTTCGGCAAAGAAGAGAGAATTCCATGCCGAGGAGAAGTCTAATGAATCCAAGAAGCTCAAGGCAGAACAGAACCATAGTTGATTCAAGGACAAACTACAGGATGAGCTAAAGTTTGTTGATTCCATGGATAAAAGGGCAGAACTGAAAACAGTGGAGGAGCCGAGATTATCAAATCAGTGTAAAGATCTCTAAAAAGAAATTGAGAGATTGAAGCAAGAACTGAAGAAGGATCTTCAAGTCATTATGCAGGATCCCAATTTTCATGGTTTATCCTTGAGCTACAAAGGTCCATTTTTCAGTTATATTCTTGGTTAGGAATCTAGTTCTGTTTTTGCTTGTGGGATATTTTTATATTATATTTATAACCAATGACTTGTCAAAATAAAATTTCGATTTTAAGTTTTATGAATAAAGAGACAAGTGTTGAAAGAAGATTTTTTTTATAAGATTTGAGGTAACTTGACTGTAGTGGAGATTTTGAATATTGAATGGTTTAATACAAAAAAAATATATATATATATGTATATATTTATAAAATTCATCACAGTCCAACAAATTGAACTCAAAATTTACATCTCATCTTGTTTACAAAATGAATTTTGTAAATCCAGTGCAGGAGCAGGACAGATCGGCCTCAGCTCCAACAACTTCTGAGTGATTTCTGGCTTTGACACCGTATTCAACAGTCAGTATGAATAAATGATCGAGTTTTCCATATAAATAAAAGAATTTAATTCAATGAAACATCTTGATATCAAATTCTGCAACCTACATATATTTGTAGCAACTCTCCTGTGGAGAGGATGTCCTCATTGAATTTCTTTCAGCAATTGTGCCAACAGTTAATAACAAGATTTCCATATAGAAAAAAAAATTTAATTGCAATTTTTATACCACGCAAGAGTAAGTCACATAAAGTTGAAGCGACAACTAAAATGAATGGTAGTAAGTAGGATGGCACCACTCTCTCTTTTTTTGCGTATTTACAACTTAGATGTTAGGTGTTCTTAAGTTAATTTTTACACGAATGATTTTTTCTTTTTTTTGATAAGTTTTAAGGGTACAAATTTATATTAGTTTGATGTATTTAAAATAATTAATTTTTTAAGTATTAATTTCAAAAATTAAAGTTTAAATCTAGTTTATAAGATAATATTTACCTATTAATATATTCAAACCTCGACGATTTATTCTTTCTCCAATCAATTTTTTAGGTCATTATTCACATACCCTATTAATTTTTTTTAATATTTTGACGACTCTTATTTATCAATAAAGACATTAAAATGTTAAATAGATTTAGTTTAATTTTTTTAATAAATGCACCTTCTCCTAAATCCCCCTCCACTCCCCGATTTAATATTGGAACATTAGAAGAAATGGATTTGAGAAATAAAAGAATATATATCATTATGTTTACAAAAATTAAAATTTTTTTCTGTAAAAAAATGTAAAATTTATGATATCAATACTATTCATCTTATCTTTTAATAACAATTAAAAAAAATTATTCTTAAATGATCTATACTATCATGTTTTTATAAATTACTCCTTACATTCTAGAATAATTATATAATGATAGATGATAATAATAGTCCTTTTATTTTTCATTTAAATTAAAAATTTAGAAATAGTTTATATTTTTGTTTATTTTATATTTAAAAAATAAATAAAAATAAAAATTA